TGATATTTATTTTAAAGATTGATGTTTATTCAGATTAATAAGCATTTATAACAATTAATATTGCATAAAAATTAAATATATTTGGAAAAAAGTAATTTAAAATAATAAGAAAAATAAAGAGAGATTTAAAATGGTATTGATTGAGAGAGGGTTTTAAGGGGATGGTTGTGTGTTTCATGGGTGGTCAAAAGAAACCACATGACCATTCATATCATTGGTGGATTCCTAAGGTGGGGTGTAATTCTTAGGGGTGGACTAAATGTACCCTTATGCATTGCTTAATGCATCTTTATCCATGAATTTCTTTCTCACACACATCAAAATCAATACATGCTTTTTACATTCTCAATGCTTGAATGATCTGATTCTGACATAAAAAAGGTGCCATTAGCACTCCCCAATTCTTAGGGAGATAATAAAAAAGTAAATGATAAGATATTTTGGTGGGGTGTAATTCCTAGGTGTGGTCTAAATCCACGGAACCTTGTTTTTCAAAGTTCATGAATTTATCTATTAAAAAAAATTATAGGGTTTTCAGAATTATTTTTTTGGAGTTTAGATGCGTCTTTTAGGTCAGACTCGGATAATAAATTAATTATTTTTGAAAGTTCCTAAAACTAAGAAAACAAGTATCAACATGGAAGAATCACAACCACCAATTTGAGCACATGAAAGAGACATTTATACTTGTTATTCCACTATTTAAAGGGGATTGACATGATACTAAAGCACACCAATCAATATCTTAGCTAGAAATTAAAGATCATGGCCGCCATTCCAGCTTTGAACCCTCTTAAGATTCCAACCACCACAAATGGAGAAACATTTGAGGGTTTTAAAAGGGGATATGACCATGACCATGACCATGACCAACCACTGAGTCCTATGGCTCGATTGTTTCATGAGCCTGGTTCTAATGTCTATATTGTTGGCATCATAGGTTTAAAAACAAAAATCAAACCTGATATTTTCAAACATAATTTGGTTCATACTCTTCTTAGAAATCCCCGGTTTTCTAGCTTGCAGGTGAAGTACACATTTTCGGAGACATTATTTGCATCATATATATATATATATATATATATATATATATATATATATATATACACACACATTATTTGTATCTTATGTTGTTTTGTGTATTTCATGAATTACAGGGAAAGGACAAGGAAACGGGGAGCATGAAATGGATTCCAACGCACGTAAACATCGATGATCATGTCATTATCGCGAAACTTGATCCTAACATGGAGTCATCTGAAAAATTTGTTGAAGATTTCATCTCTAATCTTAGCAGATCTCCTATAGAAAGCACAAAACCCTTGTGGGATCTCCATATCCTCGATATAAAAACTTCAGAAACGGAAGGCACATGTGTCTTTCGCTTCCATCACTCTCTTGGTGACGGAATGTCTTTGATGAATCTTTTACTTGCATGTGCAAGCAAAGCCTCAGATCCTGAGGCTATGCTTCCAGGGAATACCAAGAAGTCAGGTGCTACCAAAGTTTCAAGCCTCTGGTCAAGACTCAGTGTTCTTTGGAACTCTTTTGTTGCTCTTGTGATGTTTGTGTCGACAGCTTTGTTTCTAGAAGACACAAAAACACCTATGAAAGGCTCGATAGGTGTGGAGCATAGGCCTCGGCGTTTTGTGATTAAAAGTGTTAGCCTTGATGATATTAAGTTGGTTAAAAACGCTATGAATGTGGTAAGGTTTTATTTCTCTAGCTTCATGATAATAATACCAACAAAAAGTTCGCCATGTGTGTGTGTCTATATATATATATATAACTCTCTCTCTCTCTCTCTATATATATATATATATATATACACACACACATAGTTACCTTTTACATGCATGTCAGTATGTCACTATATATGAAATGCAATGGCGTCACTAAATGTGTCACTATATGCACCTTCATGTCATGATTCTGATTTATAAATCCGTGATATTTCAAATTGAACTCTAAAAATGAGGTATCAAGTTCGTACAATTCGACTAAGTGTGAAGACAACAAAAGTAAATATACCAAATATATATATATATATATGTGTGTGTGTGTGTGTATATATGTTAGTTACAGAGATTTTGCATGGTATATCTTTTGCAGAAAGTAAATGATGTGGTACTTGGAGTCACACAAGCTGGATTATATCGCTACCTACATCGGAGATACTGTATGTTTGTGTTTAATATATATATAGTCCTTTGATATATATATATATATATATATATATATATACATATACATAGATACTTTTGTAGAGGTTAAATCAAATGAAAACCACAAAAATATTACAAACTTGTCAGAACCCAATTAAAAATAAATTTTTACATGATTTTTTTTATCAAATGTTAGGATTTAAGATATTGTTTTACATATATTTGTTTCATAATGTAATTGTTTCACATGTATTTATTTCACCATATGAATATTTTTATGTGTATTTACTGTTTCACTAAGTGAATTAGGAAAAAAAAAAGTTTCATATGCAATT